CAGACCCCAGTGACTTGGAGAAGAATAGTCAGTTCCGCAAACTTCGACGTCGACTGACTCGAGAGCTCCTTCGCATTAAAAATGTATGGTGGACGGAAAAGGCGAAGCAGATGGAATGCTACGCCGAACGCCGCCAACACAAGGAATTCTTTGACTCCTTGAAGGCGGTGTATGGACCGAGATTGGAGCTACTGCGGACGCTGATCCATGGTAGTTCAGGCGCTACATGCACACAGACTGCAGATATAATGCAGATCTGGTGGAAACACTTAGACTGTCTCTTGAACAACCGTTCGGAGATCGACTGGTCTACATTGAACGGCCTCAAGCAGCACGATGTGCAGACGAGTCTGGCGGACACGCCGGCACTGGGTGAGAGGCAGAGAGCACTTGCTCAGCTGCGAAACGGCGAGTGTGCTTGGGCCGACGGGATCCCGCCTGAAGTATTGAAACACGGCGGAACCGCGTTGGTGACCGCGCTGCACCACTTGGTGCAACGCATAGGGATTGAGGAGGAGGTGCCTCCTAAAGTGAAGGATGCTTTTGTGTTACTACTGTACAAGGGAAAAGGAAGCAAGCAATGTGCCATGAGTTATCATGCTATCAAGTTGATGAGTTGTGTGAGCAAGGTGATTGCCCGAATTATGCTCAACCGCCTCGTCAGTCAGTTTGTAGAACCTAACGTGGCCGAAGAGCAGTGTGGATTCCGTTCGAGTCGCAGCACTATAGATATGGTGTTTGTGGCTCGACAGTTGCAGGAGAAGTGCAGAGAACGACAACAGCCGTTGTACTCGCTTTTTGTTGATTTCACCAAGGCATTTGATACGGTGAACCTCGAGGCATTGTGGCTGGTGTTGGGTAAGTTTGGTTGCCCGCGTAAGTTTGTAAGTTTAATTGAATGTCTGCACACTGATGTGCGAGCGAAGGTGCAGCTGAGTGGAGAGACCTCGGATGACTTTGCAGTTATCTCTAGTGTAAAGCAAGGCTGTGTCTTAGCTCCTGACCTGTTTAATATCTATCTTCATGCAATGATGTCTTGTGCTTTTGATGCGGCTTGTGCTTGCGGTGTTCGTGTGGAGCACCGTATTGATGGTGGCTTGCTGAACATCCGTCGTTTCAGTGCGAGAACCGTTATATGTGAGACATCTATTCGTATGTTGCTGTTTGCTGACGACTGCGCGTTGTTTGCACCCAGTGCGGATGATTTGCAGCACATGACTAGTGCTCTGGCTTCTATAGCGGCCAAATTCGGGCTCACCATCAACACAAGCAAAACTGTCTGTCTTGTTCAGCCTTCACCGGAGGTGCAATCTTCAATATTGCCGCGAATCAGCATTGGTGCTGAAGTATTGGAAACCACCTCCCGCTTTTTCTACCTTGGGATTGTGATATCCACTGACCAGCAGATACACAGTGAGCTGCGTATCCGCGTGTCGAAGGCAGCAGCGGCATTCGGAAAGCTTGAGTACCAAGTGTGGAACAACCATCAGCTTACCGTTCACATGAAGCTGATGGCGTACAAATCTATGGTGCTGTCCGTTCTTCTATACGGCAGTGAAACCTGGACGATGTACCGGCGGGATGTGCGAGATCTCGAGTGGTTCCATCAATAGTGTTTGCGACAGATTATGCGCATCGGATGGGGCGACAGAGTTGCGGACACGGAAGTGTTGCGTCGAAATGGAATGTATGCAGTGCAATGCATACGTTTGCTGAGACACCTGAGATGGCTTAGTCATGTGAGCCATATGGATTCAACGCGGATACCGAAACAACTCTTGTATGGTCAGCTGAGTATTGGGTAGCGGCATGTGGGGAAACCAAAGTTACGTTTCCAGGACATGATCAAAGTGAGTCTTTCATGTTCTAAGCTTGATTTCAGGTCACGGGAATAGAAGATGGTTGATCGGCGTACATGGCGCGATCTGATCACGAAGGCAATTGCAGAAGTGCAGGAGAAAGACCTCATGCATGCAGAGAAGAAGCGGCAAATGCAGATGGATTGTACTCCATCGACATCAAACGCATGGTGTTGTAGCACATGCGGCCGAGTGCCTGAGTCAGGCAGACTTAGTGAGCCATGAGACCACCTCCGAAGCGACGACGGGTCCTACAGAGAACGTAGGCAGAACCTGCGCAGCGTTTGTAGGTACGCTGCATTCGATTTACTAACCGTGTGCTTGCATGCTAAGTCTATTTATTTCAGATGGTGGGTTTTCAATTCTGTCCTAAGGATTTTCTTTCTCTTATTATTGTCTACCAGTACTATCTTCTATAAACTTGCACAAGTGGCTGAAGCTAACTGTAGCTAATTCCGATAACATTTGTGCGTTTGTGGCATTTCCTTAAAATATGTTTTCTGACCTCTTGAACTTATCGCGGATTCGTTCGTAATCAATTTTTTATACGCCTATTAAGTGAAGAGTTATGTCTCCGTATCTGTATGCATTATCCGATTTATTTTATTTCATCTTGTCGTTTCAAGTGATTGGCTGTTGCTTGATATCCCCGGTGCTTATGCGCTTGATGTGCATGTTGACGAGGTGCCTACCAGTCTATTACCCACTACCTCGTCCATACTGGCTCCAGGAGACAGTTGGTCGTTGCTGGAGGGGACGGGGTGCATGGTCCTTGTAGACGTGCTAGGGCTGAAGAGTGGTTCCATGCATTCAGTGTGGAGCGGACCACGGTCCAACCACCGCCTTGTGTGCGACTGATTCCCCAAATACAGCGTGCTTGTGTTTGCCTCTGAAGGAGTGTGGGCCGGCTCCAATGATGAAACGCGGGTCCCATCCACATGCCTTCCGGTCTTATTCTTTCGGGTTTCCACTGCATATGGAGGGGTGTGATTGGAGCTGCGCAATCTACCCATGGTCCCTCTGTAGGCGCAGGCGTCCTGTGGCTGGCCACAGTGACAGGTAAGTCCGAAACCGGATGCCTCCAATCAATTGTTATGTATATAGCTGTGTAGCTTATGTTTGTAAGTGTGTTGCTGTATTTTCGACCGTGTGATATCGTCAGAAATGTGAAAATAAACGAATGATGTCCGTGGTTGGATAGTATTATCCAGATATCCACGGGCAGTGACTTTAGTTTGTGGCGAGTCACATCCGCCACGTCACAGTGTTGTTAAACGGATATTTATGGCTTTTTATAGGGAGAACGCTTGCCAAGCGAAAACCCACCACGTCCTGGAACACTAGCGTCGAACTATTTGCTGGAACGGGTCTAAGCGGAATCATCCAGCTGGCACCCGAGGAGGTTGTTCGGTTAGCTGAGGGTGAGGAAGACCACAGCTAATGTGGTGTAACCCAAAAACGTTAATATACAAAAAATACAGACCACAAAAATGCAAGGAAGTAACGGTGTGAAATAACATTGTGCATTTGGTATGAGATGATAATTGGATGGGGAATGTTAATGGCATAAAAACTCGGAACACAAACGCCATCGGGATCGGCTCCTGACGGTATCAGCAAGTGCATCCAAAATAATGTGTTCATCGTGCTTGAGACTCTAGCCTGACAGTTAGGACGCACCAACGCAAAAGGCACTGAGCCAATGAACTTATTATCACTGCTCAAAACTGCTCTCGGTGTTCACCTGCACACATGGGAGTTGAATCAATGAAATCCATAGTGGTTTACGCTTCAAGAGAGGATGTATTGATCACATGTTTAAACCTAGTTAGGCGACGGTAATTCCCGAGGCCTAACTAATGAATTCACTGTGACAACTGGGCCGTGTGAGGTGTGTCGTGTATCTCCTTTCCTCCCTGGCTAGGTGATGGAAAAGAGAATCCTGTGCTCCCAGTCCCTGTAGAATAAAGTTTAGCCGAATCCGCGGTTGAGAAATCTGGAGTACAAGAGCATGAATATCTTCGTGTCAGACTCGTCCTCTGTATAAGCGCTTCTGGACAGAATAATAAAGAACGCTGCACCCTTTGTTATGTGTTTCGCATCTTCAAAGAGCAAAAGACCGTGACATCACCAATTTGACGTCACATCGATTCCGACCATAAACGAATGGCCTCTCAAAGTGGCGGAGCAGTTCATTTGCTTAGTAGTCAAATCGCTTCTGGTAAATGCAGCACTAAGGATGTGGTCTCACGTATCAGCTGAGCCTGTGCCATCCATGGAAACAACCGGACATCGGCTGCGGGAAGATCGCCACTATAGTATGCATAAGGAACGCGGTCCCTTTGCCTTAAAGAATGTAAGAGATTGGTAGCTTTTAGTCGCGGTTGCCAGCGAAACAACCCTCGAATCCAGTAGGAGCACTGAGTGAGTAGTACTGAGGTCGGTCATTTGTGTGCTTAGAAGGAAACCCTCTGGTTCAGCAATAAGATGTCTTTTACTGTCCAAATAATATCCTTTGAATACTGCTGTCTACTGCGATTGCACTCATTTTGGCAGAAACCGGAGAATAATAAATCAGTGACGCGGCAGATAGGTAAGAACAGACCAAAAAGTCGGTACGCAGATACACCGCACCGACGCTTTGCTACATCACTAGGGATACTGCAAGGTCACTTGTACCTCAACAGATGCGAGCTGGTAAGTGGCCGTCGTATGAACAGACTGAAACCATTGGACTGAGAGTGGCAAACGGTCTTCGTGGATAGTGATCGACTGTACAAGTGGATGAAAGCTTTCTCGAATATGAGGAGTCAACGGCACTCCTGTATTCACTTGATCTCAGTTAGCTGAGGGCTTTTTAACTCAACTAACTGCAATCATAATTATTGCGTAACCTCAGGTTAGCTGTAGCGTACTTGCATTTTCCATCACTTTCCCTATGAGCATTCAGTAAAATTTTCGTGTCCATACAAGTTATGGTAACTGAATACATTGTGTCTCGGTGTTCGGATCGTAACTATGCCACCGAGCCTGAATGAATCGCTCAAACGAGTTGCGTCAGAACAGATCTGAGGAGAAATAATGCATAAGTACTCGATGAACTGTCATTTTGGTCTTTCGAGGAGAGCGCAATTAACTTACCATCATCAGAACACGGTTAGGTTGTTCCTCGGATTCTTTCTCGGGAGAAGCAAATTCGTTTTTATCAGCATTTCTACAAAGAAGAAAGTACAAATTGGTGACAAAATCAGGGGTAAGGGAGGAAGGAAGCAAATATTAACTGGAAGATAGAAGTGCTGACTAGCCGAACAAACCCCTCGTGGTGCCAGCTGAGGGTTTCAGGTCTACTCCGTTCCAGCAAATAGTTTGGCGACAGTGTTCCAGGGTATGATGGGTTTTCGCATGGCAAGCGTTCTCCTTATAAAAAGCCAATGTCAGTTGAACAACACTGTGACGTGGTGGTTGTGACTCGCCACCAAGTAAAGTCACCCTCTTGCTCATCCGGACAACCGCTACAAGTCCACAAACATCAAGCATCCAATTAGCACTGGCTACACTATCAGAAAGGCAGGAAAGCTTTTACAAAACTCATAAATACGGCAACACGCCTGCATGTACACATACATACATTCATATATCAATATATGTGACAATCTTATTGTTTCAGTGTACATTAATCGATCACATTTTGCACTCTTACTATGATCATTCTTGTGCAGGCGTGCTCGCGTAGTTGAGAATAAACAATTTGGTTATTTGTTTGGTTACAGCACTGAAAAAGGATAAGGGTGTTACTTAGATGATCGATGGACAGAAATTTGAAGCCTAAAGTTCCGGAAGGAAGCCGTGATCAATAAGGGTGAAAATGCTCCAAAGCGACGAATACAGAGGTTGGCAAGGAAATAAAGGTTCCATGTATACGTTGATATTTGTGCGTTCCAACGTAAAGTTATCGTTTTTTGGAATCCTTGGTGTATCGACTCAAGCGCCTGACATCTAACCTCTAGGTTTCGGGTTCTAGTTCAAGCTTCTGAATAAGTCTAGGTGCTCCTGCAGCACAGTCACCTATGATTGCAAGGCAATGATTCGACAGCACGGGGTAAAGTGCAGAGACCTTTGTTTAGTCTTCAAAGTTGTCAGCATATGAAATCTGTAATAAGAACCTGACGAAGACGGTATCATAGGTACCCTGGTATACGGACGTGTACTTACGTGTCCAAGTAGCAATGAAACTATCCAACCTATGCGTGGGTGGGTGTGTGCTTGCTGCAATAACAGCAGCAAAGCTAGACGATTCGGATGTGAGAAAACGAGGTCTTGAGAGGGAAAGTTTCGAATTCAGCAAAACGAAACCCAGACAAAATGATTCGTTGTTGTTCTGCTTCTATCTAGCTATCTAGTTAGCTATCTAGTAAGCACGGCGGACAAAGGGTAGTTGGCGCGGTACAATCGCCAAGTGCACGTGGTATTCATATACTCATCCATCATCATCATTATCAACAACAACAGGACATCAGCCATTTGAACTGATATTTCGCTGCCATACAACCATGATGAGCTATAGAAAACCCTATTGCCCTAAACGCACATTCAAGGTCAAGGAGCCTACATCTTGTGTTGACAACATACCGTCACAAACAACTGGCTATCGCGCAAAGATAAGGCGGCATCGGCGAGACAGCCTCCTTGCGGCTTTCACTGCCCCGCATCATAATCAGCCATTACCCCTGATGCTCTGGTCACCGCAGAGGATAATCAACGATCCCCTATCTGCTGCATCGAGCAGGGTGGATAGGGGTTTGGATGCTACTGCTCAAACCTTCCCGTCTTCCTATTACCCCTCTTACGCTTTTTCACTCTTACCGCCCAGTTCCAGCTTCATTTTTATCCAACCCTGTTTTCAACCTCCAATTCTTGGCCCTCCCACAAAATGCTTTGATAGCCGTTTTTCTTCTAATTTCAACTCACATGCTAACGCGGAGCGTCACTCCTCTCCTGTCGACAAGCCCATGTCTAACCAAGCGATCCATTCCAGTTCACCGGCTTCCATTTGGAACCCTCGATCCCCCTTCAGATTGGCATGACGCAATGTACGCACATTGCTACAGATCGGTAAACAGGAAGCACTTGCCCGAACATTACAGACCCTCTCGATCAATATCTGCTGCTTATCGGAGACTCGCCTGCAAGACTCGAGCTCTGTGCTCACTCTGCCATCCCTGTCAGGTGACGCAAGCAGTAGTTTCTCACTACGCCTATCCGGTGACGATGCAGCTTTGAGCACCGACCAAACTGGTGTTGGCATTGCCCAGAGTCCCCGGACTGAAACTACTCTGGTTGATTGGATTCCAATCAGTAGCCGGATGTGTGCGGTCCGATTGGCTCGCTCGTCCAAAGCTTCGAAGCCGCGCGGGACTAATAGGTGTCTATTCATCATCGCTGCCTATGCACCGACAAACTGTAGCGATGACTCGGTGAAAGATGACATCTATCGTCAACTGAACGAGCTCCTTCGCCATAGAAGAAGCACGGACACTGTTGTGCTGGCGGGGGATCTGAACGCACAAGTTGGAAAATTATCCACTGATGAAATGCATCTGGGCGGCCAACATGGTGTAGGCTCCAGTAATGATAACGGTGAGTGGTTACTTCATTTGTGTGAAGATGCCCGCTTATTTCTTGCGAGCACTAATTTCCGACACAGCACCCGCCGGAGGGTGACTTGGTGAACACCAGCCTCGAACCAGCAATGGAAGCAAATCGTTCACATTGCAATCAGTTACCGCTGGAGAGGCTGCGTCCAGAACTGTCGCTCGATTTGGAGCACATGTGTAGACACTGACCATGCACTTGTATGTGCTGACCTGCGGATGCGCTTTGGCGGACGCCCACGACGACGTTGTGACCGCATTGACGTCAGCTAACTGGCGAAGCCAGCTGTTCTGAATCCCAATCAAAGTACGCTGGCACGCGTTCGGAATGCGGCAACCATAGAGGAATCAGTCTGATCTCCATCGCCTCCAAATCACTCGCCTCCATAATCCTTCACAGACTGACTGGCGCTCGTGAAAGCCAGATTCGTGAAGAGCAAGTTGGGTTTCGTCGAGGTCGTGGCTGCATTGACCACATATTCACCTTGCGTCAGTTGTTGGAGCACCGTCACATATATTGGCGGCAAACCGTTTTCGTGTTCCTCGATATCAAAGGTTCATTCGATTCGGTTGGTAGACGTGCAGTTTGGGGCTGTTTACTCAGGAAAGGTGTACCTGAGAAATATGTAAATCTTCTGCGAGCATTATACGCGCGTAGCTCAGGCAGAGTTAGGGCTTATGGCAAGCTGTCGTCGCCCTTTAATATCTCCAGCGGCGTGAGACAAGGATGCCCGCTGTCACCTTTCCTCTTCAAACTCGGTATTGATGAAGTAATGGAAATTGCGTTCACAGGACACGACTTAGAAGTTGTGGATCTGCTCTCAGCAGAACGACTTCTTGACTTAGAGTATGCTGATGATATTGCCTTAATCTGTGACAGCTCACAAACGTGCAAAGCGGCAGTGGACAGATTAGCACTGGTTGTCCGTCACTTCGGTCTTTGCTCTGCAACCTCGAAGTGCAAAGCGTTCCTCCAAGATTGGCAGGGATCACCTCCAGCGCTGACCCTTGGTGGGGATCAGCTAGAAGTCGTTCAAAAATTCAACTACCTGGGAAAATGTATCAGCGCCCGTGCAGTTAAAGATAAGATCACGAACCGTATAACAAAAGCTCGAGGCGCTTTTGCTAACCTTCGCTACCTATCGCGAAGGCGCGACATCACTCTAGCTCTGAAGGGTAGAGTGTACAATGCAGCGGTACGTTCGACCCTACTGTGAAACCTGGCCCCTTAGATCAACGGAGCTAAAAAGGCTAGTTACGTTGGACCACCGGTGCCTTCGCAATTTAGCACACATCTAGTGGTAACACCGAGTTAGAAACCAGCGTGTTCGACGCCTTGTTTACGGCACAGGAAAAGGAAATGAACCGTTCAGCACCGTTATTTCACGCACCAGGCTCCGATGGCTCGGCCACGGATTATGCATGTCAGCCAACCGAGTTCCGCCACGTGCGTTTGCGCGCCGGGGGTGTGGATGAAAGAAGAAAAGGGGTGGCCAAGCGATGACTTGATCGAGAGGAATGAAGGTCCTCACTTCGGAGCTGGCCTCGGTTCGAGCGTCTCGACTCCCTGGTTGGGGTCCCAAAGATGATGAACACGTTTGGCTGGATACAATTGCTGATATGACTAGGAGCCGACCTCAATGGCGTTCGTGCTGTGAATTTCTTTGCCCCACCCCATCCTTCTTAACTTCCCCCTCCAATCACGATCTCACTATTTAGCCTTATATAATTCTGCATAATAAAGTTTTTGCTGCATAGTATCCGGTTGGTAGCTCACCTGAACGATGCCTTTCGGTTACCGGTAGCATAGTTGGCTTGCACCTGTTACATTTTTTTCTCCTTTTTTCTTCTATCTATTGCGGCACAGTAGCTGTGTTTCCCACCTCTAGCTAACGTGTATAATGATGATGATGAGCAGTCAGCGCCAAACACGCTTTAAACAAGAAGTCCGACCAGGAGGCGGCAGCAGACGCGCCACTGGTGCCCACTGCGAGGCATGTCCTGTAAACTCGAGCCAAGCACAAAGTGGGTCCAGTCCGGAAGGCAAGACGGACCAACGGCACCCATTTTGGTCGTCAATAACTTCATTTCCCGCTGCCAAGTCAACTTCTGTCCACCTCGAGCCTTGCGCCATCCGACACCTGGGAGACTAAACAATGTCATCCTAGGAAAGTGGTGACCAGGCATACGTAGCACGTGCCCGAGCCAACGTAACTTATTCAGTGCTATCTGCTGTTCTAGGGAGCTAGCATGATTCGCACTACCTAGTACTCGCCTACGCACATCATTGTTGCGGACACGCTGGTGCCATCCGAGACCAGCAATGCTTCGCAGACAATGATGACCAAAGACTTGAAAGCGCCTCAGATTTTCAGACGGAAGGGGCCAAGTCTCACTACCATAGAGCAGAACGGCCCTCACTGTGGCCTTGTATACACGGCCTTTCAGACGAAGGGAAACTCCCTTCTGTCGCCAAAGATGCCGCAGGTTCAAGAAGGCAGCTCTGGCCTTTGCAATGCGTGAGATGACATCAGTTTCTATGCGCTCATAGTTGCTGATGCAC